GTGCCAACATGGGCCAGTGAAGCAACGTCCTCCACAACTAGACTGAAGAACAAAAGGACAGCAACTTGTCTGTTCCCCTTCCCCGATTCCCCAGCGCTGTTCCCCTCCACCAATTCCCCAATAAAATCTTTTTTTTTAAAAAAATGAAGTTTAGATACAGTTATTCAGCTTAAACCAAATTTACAAAGTTCAAAGATATATTACAAAAGTTTTGTTTATGAAGCTTAGATATTCAGCTTACACCAAATATTACTTACATAAGTTCAAAGATATATTACAAGAAATTTGTTTTGAGAAATGAGTTTTATAGTACTCAGATCTGCAGTTTGCCATCCTTTAGGATTTATACTCAGCAAAATTTTGGACCATCAGAGGAGAGAAAGACAAGAGGGAGAAGGATAAAGCAAATGTGGTAAAATGTTAACATTTGGGGGATCTGAGTGAAGGGTATCTGAGAATTTTTTGTACTGTTCTTGTAACTTTTCTATAAGTCTGACATTGTATTAAAATAAAAAGAAAAAAACTATTTGAAAATACTTTGCTTTATGACTAGGAAAGCAGTATAATGACATGTAATAGGCACGTAAAGAGGAAATTAGTATACATAGGCTAGGAAGAGTGGAGTGAAATTATATTACTGTCTCCTTTAGTACTGTGGGGGGTAAGGAGGGGCTGTTCTGGCCACCTGGCAGTGAATGTCCTGGCCTCTTTTGCACATAAATCCTAATACTGTTTTTACTGGATGCCAATAGTAAAAAATATACATAAGATCTCACACCTCCTATTCTAACTCCCATCATAACCAAGCAAACTTATAATAGCATGTAAACTTATTATCCAGACTTTTTCATAAGAGAGAACATATGTTCCAACTAGCAGACATAAGTATGCTGTTCTCTTTACAATTATAGCCTTCATTATAATCAATAAACTGGCTTTCCGGTTATCAGTTTCTAGTCTAGCTTATTTTATCAACAGCACGTGGGAAATAAAATGTCACCAAAACCATACAGAATACAGTGGAGCTTATATGAGTAAGTGTGCCTTTGAAATGTATTTCTGCTTTCATTCTTTCAGATTGCGTATTAGGCGATCGTAGACAAGAGCATGCTTCAGTATAAATCTGTGTTTATTTTACAAAGATATCTTCCTAAATGCCCTCTGCCTCTGTGCTGAAAAGGCAGCTTCTCTGTATCATGAGTCAGAAATGTAAATATATAAGCCTTAGTGCCAGTGAAAAAATGGCTTCTCGCTTAGAGTTCGGTCTCAACTGACATCACACTCAAACTGCTTGAAAAATGAGGAGGCAGGTTGTACACATCCTTTATGTTATAAATCCTTACTGAAAGATGGGCTACATCATACAAGATAGACTTCCCTGAAAGAGTATTCAATTCATAACAATCTCTAATGGAGTAACGCAAGAATTCCAACCTTGTGACCATAAAAGGGGGTATGGGAGATCCATATTGCCAATATGGAGAGCGCTCCATGATATACTAAATGATAAAGTCAAGTTGCAGAACATTATATGGTTTGGAGATGCATACCAAATTGTTCACTCGTTATCTCTGGGAGATAGAGGGTTGGGGAGCTTTTGAAGGAAAGACTCAATCTTAATTTGTTTGGAATTTTTTGATAGCTTTTTTTTTTTTAACTTAGTCTTTTAAAATAAGATGGTGACAAACACTGAAGTTCATTCACAGGAAGTACCAGTATCTCCTTCATAATAGAAACCACAGATGGTGCCTCTCAGTTTACATTTTACAAAAACAGAAGCACCCAGAATATTGTCTGCCTTGTTTTATGGAATAATAGTCAGTTTTTGAATATTAAGGTAGTTGTTATAAAGAGTAGTGTTTTCTAGAGCCTATTTGGACATTGAGTCTAAGTAATCAAAGTTCTTTTTATTTTGTTTGTGTAAGTACACATAAATATAATACCAAAAAGATACCTTTCCCTTTTAAAATAGAAGTTATGGTACCACAAAGCTCATTTCCCATATGATCTTGTGAGCATTTAAGTATCATAATAGGGTTTGTCAGAGCTTGTGTTCCAGGCAGGGCACACCGGTAAAGGTGAGTAGGACTATCTCTTGGCATTTCAACATAAGAGTTCCTTACTAAGTCACCAAGAGGCACTAGAAATTTAAGAAACTAGGGACAAATGTCCTAAGCCTTCTACGAAGAAGGTGTTATCCATTTGGGGAACTATTGATCAAGTAGCAGCATCATGCTTAAGGTAATGAGGAAGTCAGAAAACAGTTTATCCATCCCTAGGAGACACAAAATGATTGAAATAATAAAGTGCCGAGATACATCATTCAGGAAGTTGTGTGGTTAGCATCCAGTGAACTGGGAAGTTCTGGGTAGCCAGAATCAATAGGGAAAGCTTTATGGAGGAGTTTAGATCTGAGACCAGCCAGATTCTGAGAAGGGAAGAAAGCATTCCAAGTAAAGGATATAGAGAAACAATAGATTCATTACTTAAAAACAAAATTTTAAATGAGCAGAAATCAATGCTTAAGTCTTGGGGTAATTCTGATCATTGTAGCTTATGTAATATGCTTTTTAAAAGAACAGCAATTTAGATGGGCAGTCAAATTACAAATCTAAAATTTCTATCCTAATTTGTTCCAGAAAGGATTTAGGGCAGCAGTTCTCAACCTGTGGGTCACGACCCCTTTGGGGGTCAAACGACCCTTTCACAGGGGTCGCCTAAGACCATCGGAAAACAAAAAGATACTTACATTACGATTCATAACAGTAGCAAAATTACAGTTATAGAGTAGCAACAAAAATAATTTTATGGTTGGGGGTCACCACAACATGAGGAACTGTATTAAGGGGTTGCGGCATTAGGAAGGTTGAGAACCGCTGACTTAGGGCCTCTTTACGAATACATGTTTAAAATGCATAAGTTGAAAAAACAAGTGCCAGAAGGGCATGATCCCATTAAGAAAGTTTGTACATAAGAACACTAAACCGACAATGTCCATGAGTAATTAATATTAGTACTAGTCCACATTAATTTTTGTATTTTAAATTTTTCTACAATATGCATGTTCTATTTAAAATCAAGGAAAAAAGATTTTTTAAAGTGACTTAAGACACAACTATTCCTGATATTGAGCCCAGGAGGAAACGTCTCATTGGCCTTCTACATATGATAAACAATGGCCTTAACATCTCTAGAATAAATCCAGCACCAAGTTCTAAAATCCATTCCTGAGGACAGGCTATGACAAAATACTGCCCCCCAAATTCAATCTAGATACAGAGCTAGTTCTCTGCTGGTTTGGCTTAAGCTAGGGATCGATTTTCCAGTAGCTTGAAGGAGTGATGGATTTTATATATACATGGGGAGTCCACCACAGCTGTGTCTGAACCAATCTCCTGTTGAGTTTTCATTCTCTTGTTGCTGTCTTCACCTTGTTAATTTTCGTTGTGTATCATTGGTGTTTGTGTAAGCTGCCCCAAGTGCTTTTTGTACCAAGGTGAGATAATGCCCAAGAAGATCAAAACTAGGCCAGAATTCCTTTAACTTACACCTTTTCCGTTCTCCCAGGTCACTTTAAGCACAATATTCCTTGAGTCAAGATGCACAGATGCCTATTTTTGTCTGGAGATCGTAGATGTTCATTCATTCATTAAAATCAATTTCACAATTTTATTATTAAAGTAAAATTATTTTTCTTCTCTGCCATCATCTACCATCATCTACCATCAGCATACGACCACAGAAAGACAAAAAGTGTCATTTTTTAAAAAACCATTTCTGCACTGCTTTTTGTCCCCTCAATGCAAAAGTAGGCCTCAAAGTGATGTTCCTAAACCAGAAAAAAGGACTTAAACAGTGTCATTCGTCACTCCCTTTATTCAGACACTTGAGCGTGCCTCTCCCCTTACAGGGCTAGTGAAGGTCTACTCTGTATATATCATTCACAGTAAAGAAAAACCCCATCATTCCCCAAATCCATGGACAAGGAAAAAATTTTAGGACATCTTTCATATGGAGGAGAGACAACAGCCCAGCCAGTCAGCAGGGCCTCAACCACAAGATGCCAATTTCCTATCCCTACCCCTTGCTTCCATTTTTTGAAGATCCGTAAGATTTACAATCTCATTATAAGAGAAATCTAGTGACCCACACATTAATTTATATCTCAAGCTAAAAATAAATAATGAGGTTCTTAAGCAGGACGCCTTTCTCTTACTAGGTTATGTGATGGCTAGACCAGCCTGTGAGTGAGAAGAGTATGAGGTACTGTGGAACGGACAGGTGCTCTCACCCCTTGACACCTCTCTTCAAGGTTCAAACTGTTCAGTAGTATGAAAAAGGCCTCCCCTCGGACACACCTTAGGTGAAGAGCATGGGCAGTGACCACAAACCAAGATGCTAGTGACACCCTTGGCTTTTGATAAACTAGAGGCTTCATTAAAATAAGTCTGACACCAAATAGATTCCACAACCCAGAGTTACTTTGGCGAGAAGCCATGAGAGGCTGGATCCTCCTCGAATTTTAGCGAAGGCTGGGTCTTCTTTCTCCCAGACGCGAACCAGCAAATGCACCTATAAGGCGGAGTTGTCAGGAAGAGTTCCCTTCCGACTTTGAAGCAAGCAGGGAAACAGGAGGACTTCTAGCTAAACTTGGGAAACAAGGCAAACCAAAGTCAATTTGAACAGGCCTCAGAAAAGAGAAAAATCCATTGGAGGTCTTATAAAAAAATAAAAATAAAAAAAAAAAACAGGAAAAAAAAACCCCTCACAACATTCAGAGATGGGCAAAGAAAGGAAACAAGGCAATGGCCTTTAGACTTCAGAGGAAAAGTCCGTCAAGATGCTCTGAGATTCTCAGCTGAGAGAGTGAGTTCAGCCTCCACCCACCAACGAGTCTGCACCACACATGCCCCAAAAGGAGTCTCTACGACAGTCCACCTTCCTCCTCACGAGCTGTAACTGAGATGAGTGCCCAACACGCATCCTGCACCGCCCTGAGGGGCCGCAGCCGGAGCTCCTGTGCTGAGCCTCACTCCCCTTGGCTCTGCTCTCCCGCAGTGCATCCTGGGCCTTTACCGCCAGGCACGATTCAGGAGTTTGACCTGTGCCAGTCTCTTCGTGATCATGGTGGCAAAAACCAGGCCAAAGAGGACACTGCTGATTAGCACGTAGTCATAGTCGTCCTTCAGGACATCGAACTGCTTGGATGGGTAGACTCGAGTTTGGTAAATGTCCAGACCATAGGCCACAACCTGGAAGGCGGAGGGGACGAGAAATGCGTGAGAAGGGTCGCCGGGGACCCGTCACAACCTCACACTCGGGTAAGAAAGGAAATGGGATTCCTCGGCTGTTTTCCCAAGGGTGAAACCAAGAGCAGCTGCCACGCAGGGTGGCCGTGGGCTCCACTCACCAAACAAGTGGACTCCAGGCCTGAGGGAGCGGTGTAGATACCACGCATCCGAGAAACTGTCTGGTTATAGTTGATGAAGCGCTCTGCGTGTATCTGCACATCTGGAGAATACGGGATTAGGTTCTCCTCTCTGCAAAACATCAGCCAGAGCCGGCATTAAGAACTGCTGTAAGGGGATCCCTTGGCTGCCCTTGCAGAGTCCTGGGAGGTTTCCAGGCCACACATCTAGCCTCAGATCTTCCTTCAAAGTTTACTTGCTCTAGGTAGTTAAAAATTAAGTAGCTAATGTTAGGAAGGCTGCAAGCAAGCAAGCAAGCAAGCAAGCAAGCAAGCTGTGTGGAGACTGAGGTCTGGATTCCTACCTTGTTCTAAAGCTAAAAACGAATAACATACAACCAGTATTACACACCACGAAGGGCAGTCAAGGTCATTTTAACACCAAAACATTGAGCCACCAGGCCACTGCCTGCTCTTTACTCCAGGGTGCCTCTGTCTACACTCCTCTTAAAAACTCTCTTATCCCCCTGTGTCTTTTCCCAGGCTTCAACTTTCTCCCTCCGCTCTCCCCTTTTTTTTTTCTCTCTCTCCCCATCTACAAACCATACTCCTCTCGCCTCATGTACAAAGACAGATCCTCACTCCCCTAAGAGAAGAGAATTCGGGATGGAAGTGAGAAAATATGCAGAGATGATGGCTGAAATTACTAAAATTAGTACTAACAATGACAAGTTATTGACTTCCCCACACGACCCAGCCCCTATCACGTCCCCTACCGCATTTCCTAGTGTCCCCATCACCAGATTTTCCAGCCCCACTAGCCTCCCACCCTCCCTGTAGCTCACCAGACATGATCTCAGGGCACCTGCACTGGCTGTTCCCTCCGCTGGAAGTTCTGTCAGATACCCACAAGGCTAGCTCCTTAGCTCCTTCAGGTCTCACTTTCCTCAAAAGTGACCATTTCAGCGGGGCTTTCCCAGGCCATCCTCTCAAAGTTCAACCACGCGTACCCCCTCCCCCAAACCTTCATAGCCCCTGACCCTTTTTCCCTTTTCCCCCTCAGGATTTATGGTAAACTAACAGTTTATCTTAGTTATTGTCCATCTCCCCAGGCAGAATGTAAGCTCCGTGAGGGCAGACGTATCTCTCAGACTTGTTCACTGCTGTATCCCTACCCGCTAGCGCAGGACAGCACATGGAGCAGACTGAGGACCCAACTTAATCAATGGGTTAAGTTCCTCACGGTCAGAGCCTTCACACCGCCCGCGAGGGTCTCACCTGCTTTGTTCTGTTGGGATCTCAGGACGGCGGGGATCCAGCAAGGCCTTCGGAAGGGACAGAATCGCTCCAGAAGGCAGCCCAACTGCACAGAAGGAAGTCAAAGGAATGTTCACACTGATCCAACCCCAGATCAGGGCTCGATACCAAAATGTCATTATCACAGAAATTTAAAATTGGGTTTAAAACAAAAAAATAGGTCAATGAGATTCCCTTAAGTGGCCCAAAACAATAATCCAATAACACACATGGGTCTGAAGGAAGGTTCCCATTTTTTAAGACACTGGTTCCCTCACATATCCTGAGGCTTCAGGTAATAAAGTTCTAGAACCAAGAAACGGGTAATGATGGGAGAAGCGCATGGAAGGCCACTTAGATCTCTTCATCCCTCTCCTCTCCCTCCAATACCCCGCCCCAACCAAGCGAGGCTTCTTCCATTAGCCACACACGAGCCGTGTGCGCTGCTGCAGCATGGCCAAGGAGGGCCAGGGAGGGCCGGAGGGCAGGAGACCCCGCTGGTTTCAGGAACAGTGGGGTTTGAACTTGGGACTCAGCCGAGAGGGCTGTCCTCATTTCAAAATAAAACAGTAGTGCCGAGTACCTAGCAAAGCTCCAAGTCCCAAACAGCTTTGGTAAAATCAACTAGACAGAGCAGCTTGTCAAACAGTCACTACGTCCTGGGCTTGGACTACGTAAGGATGAGACCCTAAACCAGGCCGTCTGAGCAATGCTGTTGGGGCTTAGTTTCTGAGCGAGATGAAAATGCAGAACAGGGAAGGGAAGTGGTTCATCAGAAATGAGGACTGAGAGAGAGGTGTCATCTTTCATGGTGGCAAAGCCAGACTGGGGCCTTTTGCTGCTGACGTAAAGCCCCCCTCGCTGACCTTCCCTTACGGTGGCCAGACATGTCTCTGCCAGCAGCACACGCCCAGCTCTGACCTTCAGTGCAGCTGCCTAAGGGAACCCGGTTGCCCCAGAGGCCCTCCCCGGTCACTCACTCAGCAGGTGCCGGCTGGTGATGCCCCGCTCGGTGATGGTCGCTTCCATGGCACTGATGGAGGAGGGGAAGATGTAGGACTGCTGGAGGACCTGGGGCAGCTGGGGACGGTCCAGGGAGCTGAAGGCGGTGGCATTGTACTGCTCGGTGCCCTCGTAGAGTTCCAGCACGGTGAACTCATTGCGCCGGGCCTTGGTGTTCCAGTACTGGTACTGCCAAGGGAGGGGACAGCCGGGGCTTAGCGGCTGGTCCAGCTGGACAGGGAACTACATGGGCGGCACCTCTCCCATTAGCTACATGCTGAGGATAGACAGGAACCACCCTGCACCCTGGGTTTCTTCCTTGCTAACAAGTTTACTGGCTTTCAGAGTGGTTTTCTCTCGGCTACCCAAAGTTGAACAAGAAAAAAAAAAATCTTCTCATGGTTCTTGGAAGTTGGAATAACAATAGCTAACATGTGAGTGCTTACTACAGTCAGGCGTCGTTCCAAACTAGACTAGAGGTGGCTGTTACTATCCCTATTTCACAGACGGTGCAACACAGAGAGCTTAAATGACGAATTCAAGGTTTACAGTTGGGAATGACGGCACTGGCAACAAATCTAGGCCACCTGATTCCTAAGCCTAACCCCCAACCAGCACTCCCTGCTGCCATCCAGGCATCTGGGATCCTCTGAAAACAAAAAGCAGCAGCTGGTTTCAATGTGGGGACTTTGGCTGCAGGGCCCAGCCATTTCCCTGAGCTGGGAAGTCCCCGGCGGCCTCTTACCACCACCCAGTTCTCAGAGTGCACGATGTGGACGGGGCCCTTGGCTTTCCTCTGCACAGAGGAGTGGATGATGCGCCCAGTGACGCCGTCCACGAGGAAGATGCCGATGAAGGTGCGCTCGTGGTGTCCATCTGTGCTCTCTGTCACCACGGCCAGCAGGTTGGGGTTCAGGCTCTGGGGAGGAGGAGGAAACAGCTCGTTCAGAACCACAACGGCACATCGTGAGCTCCACCTCACGGGGATCCCTGGGCCGTGAGGCCGTCCAGGAGCTCGCTGGCCCTGCAGGGGAATCGGGTTTCTGGGCAGAAGAGCTGCCTGTTTAGAGTTGGTCACCACTGAACCCGTGTGGCGTCCACTGGGTGCTGGCTGCCATGCCGGGTGATGGCCAACATCATTTCACTGAATCCTACACACAGCCTCGCAAAGTAGCTGTTGTTACCCACATTTCATAGGTGAAAGGTCTTAAAGTACTTGAGCAACTTGCTCAACTCAGACACCGAGATACAATCCAGGTGTGCCCACTCACTGACCTAAGGACACTGTTCTATTGCTCTTTCTCTCCACCGGCGTCCTCCCTATCAACGGATGAGTCTCAGTTCTTACCGTAATTGACCTACTGGTACCATGTGACCCAGGGATCACTCCCATCTTGAAACACTTCCCCCACCTGGCGTCCAGGACACCAGCTCCCTGGTGTTCCTTCTGCCTTCCTGGCCATGCCTTCTCAGGCTCTCCTGAGAATGTGACCTCAGCCAATCTCATGGTTTCACACCATCTCTAGGTGCTGGCAATGCCCAACTTCACATATCCAAGCCAGACCTCTCCCTGAACTCCAGACTTGACCAACAGACTGCCAGCTCAGTATCTCTTCTTAGATGTCTCATCTCAAACTTGACGTGCCCCACACTGAACTCCTGTTCTGTTCCTGCTAAAACCTGCTCCCCCTCAAGGCTTCCAGTGTCAGTGTCTTAGACCTGGAGCCGCTGAGCCATCAGACCCTCTTCTGAAGGGTCATCGGACCTGGACGCCTTTCTCTCTCACACACACACACAAACATCCTTCCCATCAACATATCCTATTGGCTCCACCTTCAAAAGTATCCAGAATCGGATACCTTCTCACCACCCCAACTGACCCAGTTTAAGCCGCCACATCTCTCCTGGATTACTACGCTAGCCTAATTGTCTTCCTGCTCTACTCCTTGGCCGCGACAGTCTAGTCTCAACACAGCAGGCCAAATGAGCCTCTTACACTTCAGTCATTTTTGTCGCTTCTCTACTCAAAACTTGCCAGTTGCTTTTTATCTTACTCAAAATAAAAGCCAGACTGATGGCCTGTGATCTGGCCCTGTCACCTCTCTGACCTCAGCAACCCGGACTCTCCTCCTCACTGACCCTGTTCTAGTCACACTCTCCTCCTTGCTGTTTCTGGAACATTCCAGGAATGCTCTGGCTTTCCTATCCAGAAGGCTCTTCCCCCAAATATCATATGACTCACTTTCTCATTCCTTCCAGTTTCACTTAAGTGTCACTTTCTCAGTGAGACCCTCCTTAACCACCCTGTTTTCATTTGTATCCCACTCCCTTCCCCTCTTCTCAGTGTGGCATTTTTCTGTAGAACTGGTCACCCNATTTCAGGGTACTAAAGCAGAGCCCCAAGGAGATATTTGGAGACTAAGCAAGCATTTTGTAGTCGTTCTTGAGACATTAATTTTTTTGTCCGAAGGACAAAATTAATCAGCAAAGGTTCTCTTGGAGAGGTTTCAGGAAATAATAAAAGATCAAATGTTCCTATTCCTCTCTTTTCCCCTCCATTGGCTGCAGCTGGAAAAGAGAAAAATAATAAAAAGACAAATGCAAACTATCACAGAGATTTGCACCTATACCTAAACTCATTTATTATAAACTTTTAATATTTCTGGCTCATAGATTTGAAGAAAGCACTCTAGATAGCTTCTTTATAAATACCACATTAATTTCAGTATCGGAGGTTCTTGTGTTGCTACAAAGATTTGGAATGGCATCCACATTCGAAATTTACGAGTAGATAACAAAAGAAACAGTATAAATACGGGACTAAAACAGTCTTCTAGATGAAACATAAGCCTCTAATACTCTGGTCCAGAAAATCAGATAGAAACTAAAGAATAGTAATTTTATGACTTATTAACTGCAAGACTTAAAATACTAGTTCCCTTATAATCTCAAGTGACCAGGCAAAGAACTAAAATTTTAAAACTGATGAAAGATCTGATATAGTCATGTTCCAGGAAATGCAATGAAAGAAAAAAAAATTCAGCAGCCATAGCTGAATGGTATGGTTTAATGTGGGAGTGCAGACTAGCAGGAAGCATGAGACCTGCTGGGATCTGGAAAGTACTGTATCTTGACACAAGTCATGGTTACATGGAGATACAATAGTCATTGAGCTAGATACTTAATGTATATATTTTAGTGGTTATGAATTATACCTCAATCTAAAACCAACAACAAGAAGAGGTTAATGTCACTGCAGGAACCTCAAAAGCAAGAGATATTGACATTTTTATTTAAAAAATATTCTATCTGATACAGAGTTGCTTGAAATAAATCCTAATAGGTACTGTGTATTTAGAAAGAGTTACATGAATAAACCATAGCTATTAGCTCCCAGGAGCCAAAAGAGGTCAGTCTGTTCTTGAGCTTTTACAAAGTTACAGGGACCAATAGTCAGTGTATATTTTGTGGGAACTCCTAAATGCAACACTGAATACTACAAATGGAGAGCAGCTCCTTTTTGGTAATTCACAATGAACAAAGATTTTTATTTTAATACCAAGAATATGAGGAAATAAAGTAGAAGCCTACTTCAATTTAGTAATATGATAGTCATTTGTAATCCACAATTATTGGTTATTTGCCCATAATAGTGTGGTTTATATGGTAAGAATTTAAAACAAAAAAGAAAAATGTGCTTTGCAGCCTTCTTGCTTTAAGAGAGACAAATAATTTTGGTAATTGTGCAAGAACTAGAATAGAATGTCAGTTTTACAGAACAGGAGGAAGCAAGACTTAAATGAAAAAGGAAAACATGATTGAAGTTAGTAAAATTATAATAAGGTAAACATCTAAATTTGCAGCAGTATTCAATAATAACCAGTGTGAATTAATAAATGCTTGATTGACAGACTTCTACAAAATGAAATTTAGACTGGGGCCGGCTGAGTGGCGCGTTAAGAGTTGGCTTGGAACACCAGCTCTGAGCAGCAGAGCCCAGGTTCGGATCCCACATGAGGGTCAGTGACACTGCCCTCTACAGCTAAGATGGTGAACAACATCTTAGCTCAACCTGGAGCTGGGCTGCCATGAGCCGCCAGAGATGGCGAAGACTGCAGTGGGCTGCCATAAGCTACCGTGAGTGGCCGGCAGCCGGTGTGAGCTGCCAAGAGCCGCTGTGAGCGGCCATCCAGAGGCCGGTGACCGATCTGCCTCATGCGGGAAGAGCGCAATGATGGTGCCAACATGGGCCAGTGAAGCAACGTCCTCCACAACTAGACTGAAGAACAAAAGGACAGCAACTTGTCTGTTCCCNTTTTTTTTTTTTTTTTTGCTACTTCACCTCTGTGATCTTCCTTCTCCAAAACCCATAACCACAGTCTAACCATGAGAAAAACATCAGACAAACCAAAATTGAGAGACATTCTACAAAACACCCGAGGACTCTTCGAAACGATCAAGGTCATGAGAAACAAGGTAATACTAAAAAACTGTCCAAGACCAGAGGAAACCAAAGAGGCCTGACAACTAAATGCATGTGGGGATCCTGGGACAGAAAAGCTGGCGGGACCCAAATGCAGACTAGACCTTAGTGAACAGCCATGAAGCAATGCTGGTGTCTCAGACAGATGCACCGTGGTCCCCTAGGGGAACTAGAAGGGGGCATATGGCATGCTATGCAGTATCTTTGCAGCTTTTCTGTAGATCTAAAATTAACCCCCAAAAAAGTTTATTTTAAAAAAGACTGACCTAAAAAGTTTGCATAATGAATAGGAATCCAAAAAGCCCTACTCCAGACTACTACTCTTTCAACAGATGAAAACACAAGATTTCTAGTAAATCTTACCTTGTATCGGTAAAATTACATAGTGAATATTTTTTCCAGCGCAAGTCAAAATGTGCTTTAGAATTTGTATTATTTTGGTCTTTGAACAAGTAAACCTGACTGCAGCCACATTGAAGGCATCCACAATGAAGACTGCAAGCCGACAGCACGAACGGTAATGTTACCCGTGTGGCAGGCCCCACTCTGATCACATTACGTGCTATCATTCATCTTCAAAACAATCCTACGACAGAGATGTGACTATCCCTACTATGCTGGTGAGAACAGAAGTTTAGGAAGCCTGAGAACGTACCCATGATGAACAGCTAGTCTGTGGCACAGCCACGTCGGAACCTGGGCAGTCTGACTGCAGGCTTGCGCTCTGCCTCAGGCCTGGTGAAGCAGCTTCCCCGGCGAGCTCCTTGGTCGCGTGACCCTGTTCTAGTCCATCTCCTTCCCTAACTCGGTCTCTGCTGTGCCCCCGGCTGTCATTAATGTCCACTGCTACAATGACTACATGCTCTCAGAGGACAGTTTTGCGGCCCACTGGTTACCTCTCCATCGGCCTCCCTTTACCACTAATGAGAGCGCTGGATCACACAGGAGGAGTTTCTGATGGATCAACTGAGCTTTAGCCCAGAGAGTTCTATCAGAGCTACCATTAATAATAACAGCAGCTAATATCTGCTGGGTGGTGGCCACGAGCCAGGCACTGGGCTAAGCCGAGTACCTCGCATGATCATCACAAAAACCCTAGGACGGGGGCATGGTGTGCCCATTTCACAGACAATAAACTAAGGCTCGATATGTGACTCCCTGAAGGTCACGTACCTACCAAATCCTGGAGCTAGGATTTAAGCCCTGGCTGTGCCCTACCTTGTAGAGCACGCTGCGGTCCCCCATCACGCGGCCCTGGGAGTGCACGTGCTCGCTGCTGCGCTTCCCGATCACCTTGACAATGCGCTGTACTTCTGGGGGGATGGTCAGCTCCCAGCTGAGTTCAGTGGTGAGGTCCTACAGCAAGGGCAAAAGCCAGCAGTTGTAATCAAGAGGGTACCCCTAGCCTGAGACAGCTGGACTTAGACATGTCCCACAATTCATTATCTAGGGCCTCTGTGCCGTAAGAAACAGAGATCAGAGCTCCTAGGGAAACAGCAGTAAGGAC